ACAGTCCTAAAAGCATCTATAATAACTTGATACGTCAATGGAGTAATCCACTTAAGGTGCAGACCGCGAAGTGTGACTTCGACGTTAGCTAGTTTGTCACACCACTCACGTCTAACTCGAGTAACCCTCTAATCATTTCGACATAGATCGTCTACGTTGGTGATCTACAATCACTATAGGGTTTGGTCTGGTTAGGCTAAACCATTGCATAATATATGTTGCATTTTTGATTTGTTGATAGTTAGTCATTTTATCGAAACTTTTGCATGAAATGTTTGAAACACAATAGCAATAATAACAATGACATATGTTGTAAAAATAGTATGGTGGTTAGAGTCAGTGGACAGGAAACTCTGAACCTAGGTCAGACAATTGTAAATGCATCTCAGTCCTACAGGTCAGTCGTGGCCCGGGTAGCCTAACAGTAGCGTCTTCAACTGCGAAGCTGGGTGATACGAGATCAAATCCGTCAGACAGCACCAGTTCCCCCAATATTCCAGGTACACTTGCTGAAGAGTGTCAAGTAGCACGAAACCTAGGTCCAGGGTTTTCTGTTAACTTCCTCCAACCACAATCATATTTCAACATAGTGAAGGCATTGTCATGTCACCTAGACTGGTGGATACAATCACAGAGCAATCAGTTTAACTAATATAATGTCTAAAATACTAGCCTTAATTATACCTTGACATTTAACCAGACCTCATGAAGAGCAAACCCAAGAAAACCAGGCTGGTTTCAGGCTTGGATGTGGATATAGACCAAATATTCATCCGTAGGTAGATTCTGTAACACGGACATACTTTTCAATGTCCAATTACAGTTGTATTTCTTGACCCTAAGACGACGTTTAACTCTGCTGATTGTAGTTTTCTGGCGATGTCTGTGATTGAAAGGCGTGTCTAAGAAACACTTTAAACTCGTACAGACTCTCTATTCGAACACTATTGATCGCGTCAAAGCTTATGGTGAATTGTTATTGTAAATGGTCACTTCAAGTGGTGTTCGTCAAGGTCGTCCGCTTGCCCCACTTTTATTCAACTGCGTTAAAGACAAAATTTTGACCATCTGACTTTCCAGGAGTTGATCTTCTATCAGGGGATTCACTTGTTGACTTAGAATATATAGACGACATAGCTCTGTTTGTTGAAGACGTTGACAAACTGCAGTCTTCTGACCACCTTAAGCAACAGTGCAGACATGTTTTGGGATGCAGTTCTCTTCCTCCAAATGTAAAATGTTATTTAAGAATTGGCTTGCGTCACCACCTGGATTAGAGATGGATGTCAAGTAGTTGAACGTATCGATTACTTCGCTCTCATTGGGAGTCTTATCAGCACTGACGGTCTGGTGTCTAACGAAATCTTGGCACGTATTCAGAAGGCTCGACTGGCTTCTGCCAACTTGCGTTACTCATGGCACAGGCGAGACATTCGCCTTCCAACTAAACGGTGAGTTTACTATGCAGCAGCTCACTCTGTTTTACTTTATAAGTGTGGAGCATGGTCATTAGGAATAGAGGATATTCGTAGGTTACCAATATTCGATCATGGGTGTCTTCGAAACATTGCTCGTACACTTTGGGACTACAGAGTAAGCGATGCCGGGGTTATGAATAAAGCACTAAGTAAAGGTAGAAAATCGGTTAGTGAGGTAGGAAATCTTCATCAACTGAGGTTGTTGAGACATGTATCACATATATTTGACCACCGCCAACCTCAATGGGCGATGTTTTCTGATGCAGGAGCAAGTTGGGAAACAGCTAGAGGCGGCCAAAACAAAACGTGACACTAGTTTATGAAGTCAATAACAATTGAAGTTAGCCATGTCAATAAGTACAGACTACCTGGTTGGAGTCCGTGTGATTATCTTAACTAATAGTTAAACTTTAAATGACGTGGCTCAAAATTGTTTGCAATGGCGCAAGTGCATCCATTCTTTGCTTTTCACAAATTTTGAAATTCTCAATTCCTCATAGCTCCTTTCTTGTTTTCATTTTGCTAATTTATATTTTCTTTTTGAGTCGAATATTCGATGTCTAAAATTTCCAATTACCACTGATACTGTTACTACCTCTACTATTCTGCAACTTGGTCTGACAACTTCACCTCTCTGTGTTAACGAGGTATGGAAACTTGACCCAACGTATATACATACAGGTTCTACGTTGTGACTGATATATATATATATATATATATATATATATATATATATATATATATATATATATATATCAGCATAAATTCGTGACCAAACGCAAGTTTAAAGTTAAGAATCAAGATGATTAAACCAAGAATAAGCACACACACATTTAATTCAATTTGTATTGTCACAATGATAAACGGATGCAGGCTGATTTAGTAAAAACACTAAACAAACATATAATTGTGATGTTTTTTTTCTTAATCAGTTCTTTAAAGCACAGTGGAAGTATTTAAAATATTCATGTTATATGTATTATTGAGAGAACCATATGACTATATTTTGTACATTCAAACAATGTTTATCATTAACTAAGGAATACGAAAAATCAGATTTATGAATGAAATGTGTGAATTAAAATGAGAATAATTACTGAGACTAACTTTATGTTACATCCATAATTAGAAAATAAAGTGTATGCTGTTTAGTTTCCAGTATTGAACTGAGTTAATCTGACCAACGTATACAATGTGTAACTATTAATCTAATTTATAACTTTACTATACACTTAATGTGAGGACATGCCTCGGAATCTATCACAATAGCCTAGAAAGAATCGCCCTTCATCTTGCGGTACATTTTAAGTCACAGTAACTCTCCAAATATACTTTTTTATTCTCTATCTTTAATCATTCGTATTATCATGGCTACATTATTTCGATTCATGTATTAATAACTTTATTAATTACATCTCGTCAAGCTTGTGCCATAGTGATTAGGGCCACTGCACACATTTGCCAGACTCTACGTTATATTGATTCACTATTACCAAGACTAAATTCCTCAGTACCTGTAGTTGGTGCTACTTTATAATATTCAAGTTGGAGACAGTACACTTTCGACAAGAATCTAGTTTATATGATAGGTTAATGAAATACGATATCACAATTGCTAGAAATATCACTAAGGATTAAAATATTGATAAAATAAAAGCAAACAAATCGCTTATTCAGTGCAATACACAGTAACCAACTTAAAAGTAGAATCTAATTAAATTTATAATATAACTTGATAAGGGATTTATTCCGAATTGGTCATAATATAATCAGTAAGCTGCAAAGTAGGACCAGGCACAAGTATGAATCGGTCCAAGTTGCCACACGTTATCACAAGATCAATATCAAATTCATAGTAGTCATTTTAATGGTAGTAATGTATAAAAGAAACTGTGTATAAGGATATAATACAGGAAGAAAGAATTAGTCCGTAGAAAGAAAGATATGAAGTGATTTTAGTCTTACCATTTAAGGGAAGACAAAGAGTTTATACACTTACACCACTGTGACCGATTATGAACCATGTCACTGTGTCTCCAACCACTTGTTACGGTAGTCACATGGACCCCAACCAAGTAGTCTACATCTACCAACATGGCTCACATCACAAGTTAGTGTCTTCAAGCATTGATGCCACGTTTTGGTTTGGCCGCCCCTAACTTTCTTCCAATTATCCCTAACACCACTGAGCATTGCGCGTCGTGGTAATCGGTGTTTAGGCATACGCAACACGTGGCCCAACCATCTCAGTCAATCACGATTCACAACCTCATCAACTGATTTACCATCATCATTCCCTAATACCCTGTGTCTAACCTCACTATTACTTACCCGGTGATCCCAGCAGATCCCAGCTATATTTCTAAGGCATCTGTGGTCAAATACTTGTAGCTTACGAGTATCTTCTACCCTTAATGGCCATGTTTCGCAGCCGTAAAGTAGGACAGAACGAACTGCTACACAGTGTACTCGTCCTTTTGTTGATAGACGGATATCTCGCCTGCGCCATGGGTGACGTAAGTTGGCGAAAGCCAAACGAGCTCTTCGAATCCGTGCTGAGATTTAGTCAGACACCAAACCATTAGGGCTGACCAGACTTCCAAAATAAGTGGAGTTTTCAACGCGTTCGACTACCTCACTCCCTATCCCTAGATCAGGCCATTCCTGAAGCAACAACTTGCATTTAGAGGGAGAGAAGCGCTACGTCTGAACGTTTATATTTCTGAATTTCTTCAGAAAGCTTTCTGTAAAAGTCGTCTTTCACTTCATCCGGGCTGCAGTTGCCCACACAGTGGAGTGGTTCTTCTGAAGGTACCTGAAAAGGAGATTGGGTTAGAGGTGGTCTTAGTGACCTGAGGGCGTGACCGCAGTGCCCAAGGGACAACTGCTTGAGGTTGGTCACACATAATCTTTTTGTAATTTTTGTGTTATCTTCGTACTTATTGGAACCCCATCACCGGAGATGGAAATCTGCAGGATAAGGCAAGATGTGCACTTTTAGGGTCAACCTTTTCTAACGCCAGCCCTCCTTGTGGGAAGGCAGCATCGCTGTTATGCTGGTTGTCTGAAGGAAACAGCTTACCACCGTTATACCTCTATATAGTCAACAGTACGACTTCGCCTTTGGACCTTAGGTTTGCTGCTTTCAGTCTTACCGCTCTTCAACCAACCCGTCTGGCATGGTAGGACTTTGAGGAACGATTGTTCCAGCTAGTATAGTTCGATTGGTTCATCACGATAGGCAAGCCCGACCACCACGTCAAGTTAGCAGCGACGATCATATTATAGCTCCGCTTTTAAATTTGTTTGTTAGTTTAGTATAAAGAAGTCAGTAACAGAGTAAACCGTTCCCTTGTTTTCTTTTTTAGATAAAAAAGCCAGACCATCATCGTCATGTGTTAATAGATTAATTAAATGAATTATCAGAATATTTGATCAATGTCACGACAAATAAAATTTTCCAACTGGTGGCAAGCACATACATCAACAAAAAACCAATATATCTTTTTAAAAAGAACCTACTTTAACTGTTGAATAAGCAGAACCAACTTTATCATTCAATGATTTCACAACCTCGGAATTCCTTGAGTAATAGAAAGAGGAGAACAAATAGCATTGTATGATTAAAGAAAAAGTGAAATTGCAACCCTACCGTATAGCAGAAATTGTTGATCCGACTTTTTCTTTAGCATCTTGGGCTACATTGACGGTCTTATCTTTAGCTTTACTTAAAAGTTCGCTTGTTTTGATATATCTGAATCAAATTTTAAAAAAAACGAGAAAAAGCATGAAAGGCAGTCAAAAAGTGGGAAACCACAGTAAGCAACGTTAACATAAATAACTATACTGCTAAGTTGATGACATTCGACTGCTGATAATAAGAATTCGAAACTTTTTAAAGTTTAACCAACCGTACGATTACAAAAGTATTAAATATGTAGGTGATAAACATATTATAGTAAATCAATCACTAGATCTAGGTTAAATAGTTGGCAAAAAAGTAAGTCGACAAAAACAATACATAGACTGGTATAAATGTGCATCGGCACATGTCACCATACTTCACAATGATGGAACAAGACGAAGAAAAATGAGATATTAAACAGACAATATGACCGAAAAGGAATCAATGAAATAAGAAAATGGGTAATGCCGAGCAATCCAAAGCTCACTGAATACAGCCAAGCCACTGTAATACCAATGGAGACAAACACTGGGGAAACATCCTTCATTTTGAAAGGTGAAGATTAATATCAGATACTTTTGCGTTATCGTTGTACGCTTTTAGAAGAATCTGGACCTTTAAAATGTTTTGGCCTTTGAGAACGTTGACAGCTATGCATTCTAACATAACAATCCTCCTGGTGGAAGATCACATTATGGTAAAAACTTTATTTACTTGTGGTAGAACTTTTATTTCAAGGAGGATATTGATGAGGAAACTGACTATAGTGAAAAATAAGGTACGAATGAGACACCATAACCGACAACTTAGGATTTTACATTCAACTCACAAATGACCTCTTGAAGACAGTGGTGTAGTTATAAAAAAGGTTGTAATTAGTTCTATAACGGTAGTATATATTAAAAGAAAACTAGGGAAAATCAGTAGACAGTATATATATGGCACTCACGCTTCTGTATCTTCCAATTTATGAATACCTTCCATGAGGTCATACTGCAATGTGGAAAGTGTGGTAAAACCAAGAGCCTTTTTTATCTCATTAGATCGTCGCTGCTTAACAACAAGAGTTTCTTGAAGGAGACGAATTTCTTCTTCAACCTACAATATGAAAGTACATAGGAAGTGAAGAAATTCATACTAAAAATAAAACTATAGACCTGAAAACGGATTAAATATTGTTACTACATAAAACATATCGTTAACATATAGTAAATAACTGAAATTAGTGAAAAGGTAACTCAGTATTTTAAGTGTTCATCTTTTATTCATAGGATTTCAGGCTCGAATACTGACCCACCTAAAACGATGTGGAAGACAAGGAAGTAGTATTATATGACCTTACAGAAGTGACTGATTGTCAATTAAACGAAACCTTACTTCCTAAGTTACACTATTATATTATTATTTTAACACATAGATATTGGTACAATGAGGCACCAAATACATATGCGCCATACAGATCTCAATCGATATGTGTGAGGGCTGTGATACTGCCCGGGTGCCCAAACCGAAGCAGGTGGTTTTCTTAGGGGGCCACACCCCGAGCCTTCGACCTGAACGTCTGATCCACAAGGCAGTGGAGCATCGTAAGGAGATGCAGTCCCATTTATTTATTTATTTGAACACATAAATATTGGTACAAGGGGGCACCAAATATATATACGCCACACAAAACACTGAGAATTTAAAGAGAAAAAAAAATGAACGTAGGGAATTATAAAAAAAAAGAGAGAACAGTAATGGGGGAAACGGAAAGGTACAATCAGAATATATCTTTCAGTTAAGGAAGGAGCAACCACTTTTTATGAAGAAAGTAAAAGAAGGTTACAGCAGGATCGCCACTGGCTTCTATTCTGAGCCATATCTGATAACGCTTCTAGCCACTGTGTTACACCACCTCTCGGACCCCAGCCAGGGAGTCGTGAAGGACCAACACAAGCCAGCCCTTTGCAGCTTTCTTTCATACCACGACACCATGTCATACACTGACTACCTCTCTGCTTTTCCAACCAGTCCCAGGGTCGGCAAATAATGCACGACGTGGAATTCTCTGGGACGACATTCGTAGAACATGTCTAAGCCACTGAAGTCGATGTTTCAAGATGGTGACACCAATTGCATTATCGTCTCTGTGCCCGAACACACGATGCCGAACCTCTGCATTACTAACATAGTGTTGCCACTGAATGTCAGCAATCCTTCGGAGACAACGATGATCGAACACAGAGAGTCGTCTAACATCCTCAACTCGGAGAGGCCAGGTTTCACAAGCATAGAGCAAAACTTCTCTCACCGACGCGTTGTAGATCCGATCTTTTACAGCCAGACTAGCATCACGAAGGCGCCAAAGATGGCCCAGATTGGCATAAGCCGCTCTGGCTTTCACTATACGTGCATTGATCTCATCACTCACACCACCACCAGCACTTATGCAGCTACCCAGATACACGAACTTCTCGACTACTTCTATCTGCCCACCATCCAGAGTGAGAACAAGATTGGAATCCTGCCAGTCTTGTAGAAGTACTTTGCACTTCGAAAGTGCAAAGCACATACCATACCTACGGACACTGATTGCCAACTGATTAAGTGCGGATTGCATGGCTTGGGCATTCTCGCACGGTAAGACAATATCATCCGCATACTCAAGGTCGAAAAGTCTTTCTCCAGGCAACAGATCCACACCACCATTACTTACATCCATCAGAGCTGTTTCCAGAATGTTATCGATGGCAAAGTTGAAGAGGAATGGTGAGATTGGGCAACCCTCTCTGACCCCACTGCTTGAATGGAACAACGGAGAAAGGTGGTTGTATGCCCTCACTCTGCCTCAGGTGTTAATAAACTTCTTAGGCACACCCTTCTTCAATAGACAATCCTAGAGAATAGTCCTGTCCAACGAATCAAAGGCAGCCCTGATGTCAAGAAACACTACGATTGTTGGCTTTTGATAAGTATGGCGGTGTTCTAATATTTGGCTCAGGGTGAAGATATGATCAATACATCCTCGACCGGACCGAAACCCAGCCTGCTCCTCGCGAGTCAATCTTTCTCGGGTTTTGAACAACCTACGAAGTATGACGGAAGCCAATAGATTGGACGCAATCGGAAATAGACTTATCCCCCGATAGTTGTTACAGGAACCCTTTTTAAAGATAGGGACAACTATCGACTCATTCCATGACGTAGGTACACTCTCTAGTTCCCAGACCTTTGTCAACATCGTTGTCAGTTCCTTAGCCATAAAGTCACCACCATCTTTAAAAAGAGCCGGAGGTAAGTCATCTGGACCCGGTGATTTGTAGCGCTTCAAGAGTTGGAATTCCTTGCGGACTTCCGCCTCATTTGGTGGATCAGTCGTCACCGGCCATGGAGGGCAGGACAGTCTGACCGATGTTGCCGGAGCAGCAGGCCAGTTGAACTGCCCTTCGAAAAATTCTGCCCATCGTCGATGGATGTTAAAGATTGGCGTTCCGTCATCCTCGCAGATTGTTTCGCTCACACCAGACTTCTTGCTGCCAGTGGCTCGGATGAGTTGGAAGAGCTTCCGGTAGATACCAGATGCAGCTGCTGCTTCCAACTCATCAGCACGCTCTGACCACCAGGCCTCTCAGTCCTTACGCAAGCTTTGCCCGATTCCATTACGTAACACCCTTCGTCTGTGGTCAAACTCACGGTCACCCGGAGAAGAGCGACGGGCTTCGATGATTTGTAAGGAACCAGAAGAAACCCAGTGCTTACAAGCGGGACGTTTCGCGAACCCACAACAGACTTCACCCGCCATTTTCATGGCGTCATGCAATCGCGACCAATGCTCATCTATACTTTCCGGTGGAATGGTAGCTAGCCTAGAAGCTAGCTCGGTTCGGTACTTACTAGCAACAGAATTTACAGACAGCTTGCTAGCATCAATCCTTTGGTGGCGGTCACTTCGTTGTCCACTGAAGAGTAAGGTAAGATTGGCGCAGACCAGGGCATGATCAGAGTCCAGATAGGTACTCCAAAACGAGCGGCAGTCTTGTACACAACCACGCCAGTGGTAGCTGATCGCCATGTGATCAACTTGAGTCCAGGCTTGAAATGCAGAGAGAGGACGCCAGGTGGCACATCGGCGATGACTGTGCCTAAAGTTAGTGCTAGCCAGAAACAGGTTGTGGTCTGTGCATAGTTGCAGTAGACGTTCCCCGTTATCTGTCCTGCGACCAACAAGTCCCCATCGGCCACCTAAACGACTCTCTTCTGTGCCTAGACGCCCGACCTGAGCATTCAAGTCTCCGGCTAGTACTACAACATCTGTCAAACGCACTTTCTGGAGAAAAACAGATAACTGGTGGTAGAATTCATCCTTGATTGCATCCGGGCTGCAATCTGTAGGGGCATAGGCAGAGATGACGAAAAGACATCGTTTCTCACGCCGATTTCTTTCTAATATAACAGCACATAACCGACTGTTAATGGGGATCTAGTTGATTAGTGCTGCCTCAGCTCTAGCGCTTAGTGCGACACCAACGCCAGCAAGACCAGATGACGATGCCACAGGGTCCCCGGATAAACGCACATAAAACAAGCTTTTTGAAGTGACATATGGAGAGCGAACTTGTAGTACTTCACCAGAGTCTTGAATACGGGTCTCGGATAGACAACACACATCAATATTAAGACTTTCCAAAAACATAGCTAGCCCTATCTGTTGTCCGACCTGCATAAATGTGCGAACGTTGAAGGCAGCCAGTTTGAATGGTGTACGTGGTTTCAGAAAAACTGCTTCAGTACTCGTATTCGGTGGTAACATACAATTTTAAACCAGGCAGTGACTCGAGAACGTTTAGATAAAGCTGAATTTTCACCATAGGCGAGCTGCTGTCTAAGTCGAAACGGATACATAAAGTGGGAATAAGAGAGAGTGAATAAATGACGTAGTAAATAATAATAATAGTAATGATAACAATAACAATAATAATAATAATATTAGTGCGAGTCATTTCATTGTTAATCGGAGCGAAAGGAATATTTTCCATAAGTAAATATTTCATCATGTTTTAGTGCGTGGACTGAGATACTGCCCGGGTGCCCAGACCGAAGCAAGTGGTTTTCTTAGGGGGCCACACTCCGAGCCTTTGACCTAAAGGTCTAGTCCACAAGGCAGTGGAGTATCGTGAGGAGATGCAGTCCCATGGAAGCCGGTGACCAAGAAATTGGTTCATACGCCATTTGTTTCCTCAGGATACTGGAGCCCATGTGCACCATTGATTTGGGATCCGGTTATAGCGCCGGACATTCGCTTTTCATCCTCTCATTTTCGTGAACAACACCCCCGCCACGAGAAGGCAGTGAGTAGGACTTCCCTTACAGAGGCTATATACGCGTGGCCATGTGAGAGCATTTCGAGAGGGAGAGCGGACTCTCCCCACTCTCGGCCGTACCAGGGCGTTATGAGAATCAATCAGTAGAAAATCTTCGCATCATTATTCGATCATATGAAGTTAAAAAATTGTAATTAAATAGATCCAATCGTATTCTACACTTTACTACTTATGAATTCAGTTTTATATGCAGTAAATACAGTGAGCGAAGTCAATAAAGGTATTCCCTCGTATCTGTTATGGAAAACGATTGACATATGAGTTTCTTAAATTTAAATTATTTGATATGAGGCGACACAAATACCAGTTACATAACTTAGTATGAAAGTGTATTGAAGAAAATACTCAATGAAAACTTAATGTTTAATGAACATAATTACTTAATGTAATGGGGAACGAAGACTGGCGAAAATTCATGTACATTTATTATAGTGCATTAAGTGTTAAATTTTTTATCCTTCTAGTTAACTGTTTATGAAGCCATAATTCTTATAGTACTACTCTTTGAAGTGGGGAGAGTCCGCTCTCCCTCTCGAAATGCTCTCACATGGCCACGCGTATATAGCCTCTGTCAGGGAAGTCCTACTCACTGCCTTCTCGTGGCGGGGGTGTTGTTTACAAAAATGAGAGGACGAAAAGCGAATGTCTGGCGCTTTAACCGGATCCCAAATTAATGGTGCACATGGGCTCCAGTATCCTGCAGGGACAAATGGCGTATGAACCAATCGTTGGTCACCGGCTACCATGGGACTGCATCTCCTTACGATGCTCCACTGCCTTGTGGATCAGACGTTCAGGTCAAAGGCTCGGGGTGTGGCCCCCTAAGAAAACCACCTGCTTCGGTTTGGGCACCCGGGCAGTATCACAGCCCTCACACAAATCAATTGAGATTTGTGTGGCGCATATGTATTTGGTGCCTCCCTGTACCTATACTTATGTGTTAAAATAAATAAATAAAACTCTTTGAAACGAATTATTTCATGAGCTAACCAGAAACAAATAACTATATAACTGATCATGTATTTAGACGTAAATAACGTTAGTAGGTCTGCAGTAATGTAACCAATTTCGATCCATATATCAAATTTGATTTTTAACTACTAGTTTCTAGTATTTTGAAGAAACCTGCCTTTGCAATATCGATATAAAACTCCACACAAAGTGCAAAAATTCAAAATGCCTCACTTTTCAATAAATGAGTAAAGTTAAATGCTGCCTTAAGACCAAAGGCAAGTACGCATGCATCAAACAACTTGACGAGGGATGATAAGTGAAACACCTATTGAGTCCTGAAAGTTTGCTTAGTACTTAAAGATCGTTGGTTTATGTTTGGTTACAGTTAAACTAACCAGTGTCCTTTTAGAGCTTGATAATTGCGGACTGATATTGAATGCTGTTGGATTCTTCACCATGTTCATTCTGGTTACTAACTGTTACTTGGTGTCACTAAATATACTAAGGCAAGCTATGCTTCAGCTGATCTTCTTCCCCATATTATTCGGAACCAAATGAAACGAGTTTAGATAGAATGGCGAAGACCTACTACCTTTTAGTGGATTTTGGTCAGGTTAAAGCACTTACAGTCTATGTACATACACTTGGTTTCCACGTTTTACAACTAAAAACATGGATTCTGGATGTTTTCGAACCCTTCTAGGACACAAAAAGAAACATTTTTCCAAAGATTGGAACACAAATGGTACCACAAGGGAAACAATACTCGTCCCCTGATACTTCTCAAATCCGATAAAGAACGACATTTAACCGGGTTCGTTGATAACTTGATATCACAACTCGCTTAGTCGGAAAAACTTCCCGCTTGTGGTTAAAGTTACAGAAGATTAGGAAAAGATTATCAGGATGAACGGACAGACTATTGGGCAAACAATCAACGCAATACACCGAAAGTTTATCGACACCTCTGAGAACCATATTACTAATTAACGTTTACGACAAAGTCAGCAGTCAACAAAGAAGTGATTAAGAAGTGCCAATAACGTGGGGAAATTATCTAGATACTCCTAGCATCGTTGAGGATAATGCTTTCACTCCTTTAAACGTGAAGACAATTGTTGCAGCTACCCAAGATCTTTAAAACTCCACGATAGTCAAAATAATTAATTGATCTACAGGATTACATTTTTTACTATGAATTATACTTAAGTGAAGGCCAGTGACATCTGTCTGAACAAACTAGTATACAGAATGGGGTTTAAACCTGAGACGTATTGATCCATAGTCATATCCCCAATTCAGTTAACAAACGACAGAAACCCGTATAGGCCAATAAGAATGCCATTAAATTTATAAACAGCAACCAAAAGTATAGTTTTGTTAGTCAAATTAACAAGCCAAATTAAAGAGTCGTAAATTAAGCTTAAGATATCATGATCTATTTCTCGTCATGAGGGTAAAACAACTAAGTACTAGAAGAACATGATATTTTTAACGTTTTAGGGGACGCTGACTTTGTCAACGAAAAACACTACAAATTACCTGAGACAATTCAACTTGTAGCCTTGCATTTTCCTCATCTGATAAAGCAGGTTGATTGGTGCTTATTTCTTGGGGTACAACAGGAGCGCTTGGATCCATCATTGATGTAGTTTTCAACTTTTGGTAGGATTTTGTTTTTATCTAAGATTACTATTTACTGGGAAAGGGTAAAGACCAGAGAAATCTGTAAGAGAACTCAAGAGATAAGGTGGGTCGACTGCTGAATATGCACATGGAACGTGTTAAATAATATTAAAAGCAAATTATGAAAATTGATGAGGGTACAAGTGAAAGATAACAACAATCTAAAAATTGAGACCACAACCTGGGAGGTCAAACCGTTGTCGACGTACCGTAACCCGACAACACTTTTGAGCGCTTCCGAAATTCAATATCCAAATGGTTCAAATGGTTGTGGACGGAATAGAAGAAGCTTTCGCTTAACAGGCTTCCATGTCTGGTAGCAGGGGATCATCAATACCTTCAGGCAAGAACCTAGGTGTATTAACGATAAAAGAGAAAAAAAGAGATTGGTAAATCATAGTAAGATACTATTCTTAGTCCATAAGAATAGATCAAGTTGCCCCTTAAAGGACTCTTGAGAAGTTGCTTGGACCAGCTCTGCCGGCAGCGAATTCCAGCATTTGACAGCTCTTAAGGAGTAGAAGTTGTACCTGCAGTCCGTTCTGCCATGTTGTATCTCCAATTTCTGGATGTTACCCCTTAGGTTAGTGTTGGAACTAAGCTTAAGCAGGTGTTTAAGAGGGTATCCAGGAGTGTTAAGGATACTGTAAGCCATTAGGTCACCTCTAAGACGCCTATACACTATTGGGTAAAGGTCGAGTGATGGGAGGCGCTCATCGTAAGGTCTAAATTTGAATCCCCGAACTGATTTCGTGGCTCGCCGTTGGATACACTCCAGTGTCCCTATCATTTTGGAGTGAGGGAGGAAATACTGTGTTTCCGTACTCTAAATGGGGACGAACGAAACTATTGAAGATTATGTGGAAAGTTCTCCCGTCAAACTGACCAAAAATGCGCTTCAATGTTACCAGTGCAAGGTTTCCTCGAAAGGCATTTCTGTCACAGTTGGCGTAAGACTTTAAGTCGTAGGGCACCAGAACTCCTAAATCTTTTTCGACTCGGGATACTACTAGAGAGGAGTTTTCTAAGTTGTAACTGTAATCTGCGACGTGTCGCAGATGAACTACTTTACACCTTGAAATGTCAATGGTAAGTCCGTTGTCATCCGCCCAAATTTGAAGCCGAATCAGATCCTCCCGAAGTGCCTGTATATCGTCTTGGTTGCGTATCACTCTCCAGAGTTTCACATCATCGGCAAAAAGTAATAACTCAGACGATGCCTGTTGAGGAAGATCTTTTATATAAATCAAGAAGAGAAGAGGACCTAGTACCGAGCCGTGGGGGACCCCACTAGGACATTCCATAGCTCGAGAGAAGGTGAAGTTAACCCTAACCTTAAAATGTCGATTTTTTAAATATAAAGTGAGCCAATCAATTAAAGACGATTTGATACATGATCGTCTGAGCTCATTGATGAGACATATATGGTTGATCCCATCAACTGCTTTTGAGAAGTCAAGGTAAATGACGTCAACCTTCCCCTAGCGAGCAAGGATGGCTGTCCATCTGTCCACCTCAGTCAGCAGGTTGATTATACACGAATGACTCTATCTGAAACCGTTCTGTTGGGGTGAAAAGAAGTTTAAAGTTAATAAATAGTCATGTATACCGACGTATATCAGGGACTCCATAAATTTTGAAAGTAAAGAGAAAAGAGCCACCGGTCGGTAACCTGAAGGTTCGCTGCGTCGACCTCATTTGAAAATCAGTTCGATGTGAGTCAGCTTCCAATTTTTCTGTAGTGTGATTCGACTTAGAGAGTGCGGGAACATCACGCTAAGCGGTGTTGCCAGGATTGAAGCTGCTTCCCCCAATGAACCATATCAAAACCAGAAGTGTCTTTTCTTAGGTGATGCAGTTTCCGGAACGCCGATTCAGCGTTCACGATCGCTTGGGAAAATCCTGTTGAGTTTCAGGCAAAGTTCTTGTTCTCGAATTTAGCATGAAACGGCCGAAATGTTTGAAAATACTGTCTTTCTAGGAGGTTAGTGGTGTCACCGTCGTTGTTGGTTGTGCCCATGTTACCCATCATTTGGGGAACTCCAGTTTCGGCCAACCCAGTGAAGTCCGGAGTGAAGAGGCTACAACTAATTCTATTTTTTGGAATAAGAATATATATATATGAGCATATCGAAATTTTTTTTGGCACGACTCAAACAATCGAGACAAACAAAGTGTTTTGTAGTGTCATATGTGGAGTAATCGTTTAGGTGTTTTGAAAACCTTACTCTTCCAGAACGTATTATTTTGATACGGTTGTCAGATACCAATAAAGTGTCGTCGCGATTGTTGATTATCGCGTAAGGTATCGTGATTGTTAGACTCGTGTCCTCCAATTGTATGGAAGGAAAATAGATATGAATAGGGTTTCTTGCTAAATGCGCGGCTGTGAAGCACCTCATCTGGTAATCGTGTGATATGATTGCGATAATTAGGAGTAATTGAATTATAGTATGAACTAAGAATCTTAGGGATAACGCAATTGAATCAAGAAGTACTACACAAGCACTAACGAATGTACTGTATTTAGAATTCGAAATCAAACATTCAACAAGTACAAAGGAGTCATTAGTTCATTCAAACAACACATCCGCCACAGCTTAAATTAGAGTCTAAGTGTCTGTAATCAATTGTACGTCTTCTTCTCAAGTTCATACTGTGTCTGTCCGACAATGTATTGGATAAAGACTCTGTATTATCTAGAATGCACTCATTGTTGTTAGAACTAACAACTGAAATCGGAACAGACTCACCTGGTTCCTGGAGTTGTATTTGATCAACATGTCGATTGTGTGTACTTAAGTCATTGATATCTAGAAGTCGCACCATAGATTTCCCGACATTCTTCAGAACAATCCCCGTGAATTCTTCCTTTTAATAGTTTTGATGGAGTCTCTTTTGTCACCGAATGTCTGGCATTTCTATATTGCAGTAGAAAGGCATCGATTCCCCTCTCCAACTCAATTAATGTTGAGGCGGCAATAGAATCAATGGCAGTTTTTAACGTCCTGACAAAATTTTCTGCTTGACCATTGGAACAAGGATGTCTGGGAGCAGTAAACAGATGTTTGCACCCTATACCATTTAACCAGGTGGTGACTGCATCTGCAGCAAAATGAGAGCCGTTATCAGTCACTAACACCATTGGAACCCCTTCCCGACTAAACACCTTTCTTAATGTTGAATTGTGAAGTCAGAATTTGCTGAAGTTGTGAAAAAAACTTCAGGCCACTTTGAAAAAGAATCAATAACTACAAGCGCATAGTATTTGCCAAGAAACGGACCACAATAGTCTGCATGAGTTCTCTGCCAGGCCTCAGACGATACTGGCCATGGAGTCCACTTCGAATGCTGCTTTTTCAGCTTACGACACTTTTCACAATTGTTTGCTGTACGACAAATATCTGCATTTATCTCTGGCCACCAACATGTGAGCCTCGCCAATGACTTCATTTTTTCAACACCTAAATGTCCACTATGAAGATCTTCTAGGACAGATTTACGCGATGAAGGAGGAATAACAACACGATCATTTAAACATAAAATATCATCAGGAGTAGTAGATAGCTCATCCCGCTTTGAAAAATAGATAGGAAATCTACGTTTCAGATTAGCATTCCAACCTTTCCGTATAGCATTAATTATACATCCAAAGTATTTACGAGTTTCTCTAATGAGATCTGGACGTTTCACTGGTAAAGGTTGCACTAACAAGCAGTCTGAAGTATTAACAGGTCTATCTTGTAATGGTTGTCGAAAAATGTAGTCAACATGTTGAATTTGTTTGGCACTCCTGTGCTGAACCGTATAGTCATAGGCACTCAAAGCAATACTCCATCGTTGAACCATAGCAGCTGAGGAACGTGCTAAGGATTTTTCAGGATGATAAATAAACTTTAAAGCCTCATGATCAGTAACAATAGTGAATTTCTTCCCGAATAAATATTTATGAAGTCTTTTAACAGCCCAAAACACAGCTGATGCTTCTCGCTGAGTCTGTGAATAACCTTGTTTGCGTGAAACACAAATAACTGGTCTACCTTCCTGTTTCAAAACTGCGCCAATACCCACAGGTGATGCATCAGTGATAAGCACAGACTGTGCACTAAGGGAGTAAGTTCGAAGAACAGCATCACTTTGAAGAAACTTTAGTAGACTACGTAAGCATGACTCTTGTTCCTCACCCCATTTAAATGAATTGGATGTCAAAATATTAAATAAACAATTTGCACGACAAGAAAAATTAGCAATAAAACGGGAATAGTATTGAAGAGCACCCACTGGTGAACGTAGTTCCGTAAGATTTTTTGGAGACGGTGCATTTGTCAGTGGAGATAGTCGTTTCATATCTGGTCTAAAACCATTACCATCAACTAGGTATTCAAGACATTCAAAACTAGATACACTAAATGAACACTTATTTGGATTCACTGTAATATTCTTCTTAATTAAACGACGCAATAAGGCAATAAGTCTCTGGTCATGAACTACCTTGTCAGAACCATGAACAATGAGATCATCTTGATAAACTTCATTACCTTCAAGATCACTAACCACCTTATTCATAACTTCCTGAAATATGGCTGGAGAACAACTTAGACCAAATGGAAGGAAATTGTATTTGAACAGACCAAAAGGAGTGTTAATTGTCGTCAAAATATATGAGGATTGATCTAAAGGGATTTGAAGATAAGCATCTTTCAGGTCGACTTTCGAGAACACTTTAGAACCATGAAGTCGATTTAGAATATCTTCAGCCTCTACCGTCGTGCGTGTTTGCTTCAACAAATGGGAGTTCAATGTTAATCTATAGTCACCACACATTCTAGGAGTCTTGCCGTCCGATTTCAGTGGCGTAACAATAGGAGTACCCCATGCTGAAGACTGAACCGGTTCAATTATGCCTTTTGCACACAAATCGTTTAATGTTTTATGTACTGCCTCTCAAAGACCATAAGGAATTATTCGTCTTTTAAGAAAGACTGGATTACCCTGTACTTGAAGTTTTATAGGCTGAATTTTCATACCTCCACTGCACTTAGCACACATGGCTATCAAATCTTTAATTAAAGCATCATTATTTTCTTTAGAAACTAGGAAAGACAGCTCCACTTTAAGCCTTTTCAAATTCCTTAAGCACAGTATTGACAGTCCTGTTTCGCTAACTAAAAATTCACAAGGTATGTATGAAGAATTATCATCTCTTATTAGCAACTCACATCGTCGTATAGGCAGTCTG